AAAGTGATTGGACGCGCTAACAGCTGCCAATTAGGGTCATGAGGTAGGAACTCGTAGATAAACTCCTGAAACGCTACATTTCAATCTTTTCGACTGCACCTCGGCTCGAGGAAGCAAAATACCTCAGGATCAGTCATGAAATAATGGTCATCGTATTCATATCGTAAATTACCGTCACTGCGATTTTCATTATCGCTGTCTTTAGCATTTCTGTAATAACAAACTATTGCTGCACCAAAATCAATCCATTTAACGATTTTTGCAAATCGACTCATTCATTTAGATTCCGAAATTTGCTTCAATACCCACACAAGATGGCGAGCTCCCCAGTTGCATTGTACAAATCGCCATGAACCATCCAAATACACAGCATTCCATGTATTTCTGTAAAAATGCGTCATTTAGCTTTCTGCTATGCATGTAGAAAATATTCTGTATCTTTGTACTTTACCTGAATCGATTATCGTCAAAAGAGTAGCCTGGCTGGTATCCGGCAGATTTAGAGTAACCTTTGATGACAACGCAATGTAAACCGGCATAGCTAAAAAGTGAACGAAAGTACACAGATAAACAGGGCTAGGGTAACAAAAATTGTTACCTGCACAGTCGTTTGAAAAGGACATGGTAGCTCTCCGTGCCATATTTGATACCACGTAACAGTCCCATAGGGGTGTCATGCTCGATAGAGTCGTCAAAAATCATGGTATTCAAGTTTTTGATAGTTATCCAGCGATAAATGGCTCTGCAAAAAGTCCGCTTTGGAATGATGAGGATGAGTGCCGCCCATTTTATGGATAAGCTCCGCCCACCCCGCTTACCTAGCCATATCAATATCACTTCTTGCTCCACTCGTCAACGCTCGGATCAAATCCGTAAACGTAGTCATTTCACTTCGAGCGCAATGTATAGCCACCTCATCGATCGACTGCAATCAATAAATCAATAAACAATAAACATTTCCAGACTTCCTTATATCTAACCGAGAAGTACTCGGTACTAGTGTAGATTTCTCGTTTGCTACACGAGGGTGGTTGCGGTGGAGGTGGAGTAGATGGGTAAGCTGAACTACTGTAGGAACTGTCTGCCGCTTGCTGTTCCTATACGGGAAGTTATTGATTTATTGATTTGCACAAATGAGATTTCTTGTTTATTACTAACCGATCGAGCTTGCTTAAACAAATCAAGCATCTCCCTTGCCTGCCGGTCAACCAATTCAGCTGTCTGATGTCGTTCTCGCTCCTAGAAAATCATCCTACTTTTTTCCAAATAGCACTCGATCCTTTAATGTTAAGGAAGTATGGCGAATCGCATTTGAACAACTGGCTTACCTTTCGCTTACTATGCAATGTTTCCAATTTCTTTTCTCTTTTTATAGTCAATTGCCTTATAAGGTCATCCTTATTGCGGATATTCGCTTGTCCTTTCTCATATTTTCGAGCAAAATCTGCCAAAGCACGCTCCCATTCCTCCTATAAAAAGTGGTTTCACTTAAATGAATAAAGCTATCCGTTGTGGTAGGTCTTACTCTTGTCTCCGTCTCAAATTGTTCATTTTCCTTGGTTCGTTGATTTTGAAATGAATCGTACAATTGGTCTTCAGCCCGTCGATGGAGAAGTTCGAGGCGCGTTTGAGCATCATAGTCCTGGAAATTTAGGGATGATTTTTCCCTAAAACTTGAAAGCAGAAGAATTAAGGATAATGGACTCGACTACGTGCCAAAAGACCAAAAAAAATTCTCCAGTTTTTATAATTTTGTAACAGAATTATTTGTACTTCAGAAGCAGTATGAGCGTTACTTAGAGTTGCTTGATGTCGCCTACTAAAAACCAGTACCCACCACAGCATATCGAGCTCCTTTATGCACAATCTTTGGATATGGCTTAGCGACTTGAGTAGCTTTAATTGCATGAGCAATTTTCATGTCTTCCAATCCTGCATCCCTAAAATAGAATAGAGCTGACTTACAGAGGTAGGATTACATAAATGAAACAGCTATTCAGAAAATCAGGAAGTAGACAAGGAACCTTCTTTTTTTTCATCCGTCTTGAAGGTTTAGAAATCAGCTTACCTTTTGTAACCATTGCTTGTCTTCCCAGTACCATTCTCAACTGGAGAGCCGTCGCTACGTGATGGTGGTAAGTCGTGAGGTCCAGCGATGGGTACATGATTAGCGCAGTAAACTTCCTGAA